AACAATGTATTAATAATTTTAGCACTCCATTATGTTAAGATTAGTATTCATGTAATGTAATTGATATATTATTATAGTTTTTGTTTAGATTTTGAATTTCATTTTATTTTTAAATTAAATTAAAAATTTTAGGAATTTTTTGTTTTGTAATTTGTAATAGACATATAAAAAGAACTAGTAAAAATGACAAAACAAATTAATAAATACTAGGTTTTTATTAATTTTTAGTTTTCATTTTTTTTTGTTTTAGTTCTTTTAGAACTTCCAACTTAAAATAAAAGAAATGAAGAAATGTTGCCTTAACAACTATACGATTTATAAAAATATTTTATTATATTTCAGTTAATTATTTTAAAACAAAAAAAATGTGTAATTTTAAATTTGAGTTTTTGTTAATTATAATACATAATCCCAGGTGAAGGGACAGATGTCACAACAAAGTCATAACATATATGTAGCTCTTACTCAGCCTCTCAAACACAGCAGCTGGTGACAGAGTGTGTTTCTTCTTCATGTCACAGACCTGTCGGCCTCGGCGGGCTCTAAGGTGGTGGTGATCACAGCCAATGCCTGGAGTGATGAGCAGTCATATTTGAGTGTAGTTCAGACTAATGTGGACATGTACGGAGGCATCATCCCTCGTCTCGCCCAGCTCAGTCCGAAAGCCGTGCTGCTCATCGCCTCTCAACCAGGTTCGCAAACACTGAGTCATCTTCTGCTCGCTCAGCTTCTGCTTAAAGACAACTGAAATTCAAAATCGGCCCTATTTATTTTCTTCTATTCTTATAGTGAATGTTTCACAATTTAATAAGCAATTACTCATCTCAAATCTAACAGACAGCAAAGTCTTGCTTTGTAGACCATGTATGTGACCTCTTCACCTTTCTGTCCACAGTGGACGTTATGACACATGTTGCCTGGAGACAGAGTCATCTTCTGCCCACTCAGGTGATCGGTGTGGGCTGTAATCTGGATTCAGAGAGACTGTCTCACATCATCAACATTTCACTGGTGGCGAATAGCACAGGCAAGCAGGCCTGGGTCATCGGAGAACTGTCCGAGAACAAGGGTGAGTCGATCACAAGCACATTAACATATTTTAACAAACACGGTTTCAATCTCTTAATTTGCCCTTCCACAAATTAAAGTCTTAAGAAAGTAGCAGAAAGTCTTAAATCTATAAACTCATGGCATTCAATGTTGCATGCAATGCAAAACAATGAATATCTTCTTCAGTTTTGTTTTCCAATACAAATATTAAAACATTCTTAAATCAAGATACATTTATTTGAGATGCAAACTGAAGGTATAAAAATTTTAACCAAATTAGTCCATGTTTAAAACAAGAAGAAACAGACATTTTCTGAGTTCAGATATTTGTCCTTTTTATGTCCTTTCCATCATAAAATCACTTCATTTTGATACATTTCCCAGAAAACAAGACGACTTTGCATCTGCTTTGATTTAAAGGTCCCATATTGTACACCTTTCTGGAGTTTTATTTTA